AATCTGACCGGCAAAAGGCCCAGGGGACGGCCAAGATTAACCTGGTGCAAACATCTGGAATCTGTTCCAGACTGCATTTGTCTTTTGCCGAAGCTCAGACTCTGGCACAGGATCGGAAACGTTGAAAGCACTGTCTGCCGCGTCTGCCTCCGCGATCCGAAAGAAGAAGCGGCGATGGAAGATGAAGATGAAGATTTCCTCTTTCAACTAGTTCATGCGGTCTATCTGGCGGCAGAGGTACGCATAGCTGGTGACTTCTTTGAGTTTTTTCTTCATTAGCGCATAAAGCCCTCTGAACAGTGCTCGTTTCATATCCATTTTGTTAACGTCCAGTTCAATGATCAGCGATTCTTGTTCCAACCTCTGGATTTTCCGGTGGAGTACATGACGAATCGCAGTCTTGTCACTTCTCTGATTGGGGGCTGCTTTAACGAAGTTTCCGTGCTATTATAGTACCTATAGTGCATAAATGCAGAACCGCGTTGTTGTGTTGGACCGAATAACGGTATGTTTAAACGCCCCTCTGCGCAGGTATATGTGATAGACGACGCCCTGTATATTCAGAGATGCAAAACAAACAGACGCTATTCTAGCCGGTGCTATCGAAAACTGGTGCTCTTGTTTTTGTCCTTTTTTGTTCGTATGTTTCTGCTTTCTCACGTTCACCGCCACTTTTGGTCCCCTTCAAAATCGACAAATTATTGATTCCATTAATCTGTTTTCTGCGACCTGTTCGTTGTGAAGTTCAGAGCATGCACACATTTATTCTGCTGATCATGGATGGAAAATATCTAGGTTTAGAATGCATGTAATGGATTTAACGTATTTGGCACCTGACAATTCCCACAGTTGCTTCGTTGTTTGAAACGAAGTTGATGACGAAGTAAAATCATGGGCTATTGCTAAACCATATTCTTGCGTTGAATCCAATGAAAGGCTGGAAAGACTTAATAAAAAATCATCTCTAACGTAAGTCCCATTATTTGCGCAAACGTTCGTAAATCTCGTCCATATCTGCTCGTCTATCACGCTTTGGCTATCAAAGGATTAAGGATGAAGTTGAACGGTAATAACGCGATGACAAGCGGCTAGGACAGTCATTAGTCATGAATATGACGACGGATGAATATAAAGCAAAAGGTGTTGGAACACTTCCGAAGACTGATGTATATGTC